CACATTTTGAGCAGGTGCAGAGCATCAGAAGACAGCTCACACTGGCCAAGGAAGTTCCTGTACTGAACGGAGTCAGAAACCTCTGGATGTGATTAGAGTCCAGAAGTTCCTCCTTTTAAAAGGCATTCAAGCACTCCATGAGTTTGAAATGGCTCTTACCTTCAAGGGGCTCTGGCTGGTCCACAGTGGAGGTGCCTGCCTTGGTTACTCTTCTGTTACTGTGGTAAAACCCCATGGCCAATACAACTTAGACAAGAAAGTGAGTAATTTGCCTTACTATTTCAGAGTGTTAGAGTCTATAATGCAAACCTTCCAGAGCCATGCCCATGAGACTTGGGGGGCTTTTCCTACAAGGCTTGGCCAACGGGACACATTACTACCCGTAAGGCTGCTGGGCTCCCCTCCAGGGATGTGCTGTCCAATACTATTTCACCCATCAGCCCCCAGGGTCCTCTCGGTTTCCAGAAGGTTCCAGTCCAACTACCCAAACTTATTGAGCAGGTGGCACACTGCGTCAAGTCTTTATACTCAGGGTTTGATGGGTGATTATTGATTATCTAGATGAGCTTGGGTGTCATCCACCCTGACTGAACTACACAGGAGCAATGAAGCAATTTCTCATGTAATAAAAACATGATATAAAACTTGTTCACTGCACACAGGCAAGGAGAGTTTCTACAAGCAGGGAAGAGGAGCTGCAGCAAACTGATAGCATGTCAGCCCCTGGCTGTGATGACATGTGCTGGGCATTCTGTGGCTTACTCAGGGTCCTACTGGCCTCAAGTCCCGGGTCCCAGCTGGGTGAGCAGGGTGAGAGACATGAGAGTGACAGAAGTCCCAAGCATGTCTGTCTCCTGGCCTTCTTCCATGGCTGCATGGCCCCAGGAAACGAGTGCTTTCTCATGTCTTCTGTGAAGAAGCCGTAAGCAGGAGTGAGGACCCATGATTTATGCCCATTGGTGCTGCTAATTGGCCAGCAACCAATATGAGTCTGCCCTGATGACCGGGCGCTGGGTGAGCTGAGGATGGAAGCTGTGTATAAAGGGCTGTATCTCTTCCTCTATAGGTCCTGTGTTGGCAGGGGCAGCCCAGTGAGCAGAACTTTAGGCAGTGTATCTTCTGCAGCAGGCCTCCATATGTAAGGACTTGAATGGGACGCTACAGTGACCTTAAAGCTCTGGCTGGTCCTCATGGACATGCCTGCCTTACCTACGTTTCTGTTGCCATGGTCAAACACCATGGCCAATACAACTTAGACAAGAAAGTGAGTAATTTGGCTTACTATTTCAGAGTCTTAGAGTCTATAATGCAAAGGGGAAGCAGGAAGCTCACATCGTGATCCACAGCCGTGAGACAGATCAAGAGTCCTGGAAATCTCACTGGGCCCACAGAAGTGAGCCTCTTTCACCTTGACTAAAGGTCAGAGAGTCTGACCTTATTTTTACTCTTCCTAAGAAGTTGCTCACAACGGGTGTGGCTACAAACAAGATATCCTGACCTAGGGTGTGGTTACTTGGTGTTTTGGTCGTGAAGAGGGGCCCGTAGAGGTGGATTTGCTTCACCTTAACCAAAGGTCAGAGAATTTAAGGTTATTCCTGCCCCTTCATTTGAAAACAGGAGGTTTGACCTGGGAGTGTCTGCCTACAGGATAGTTGGTCTAGGGTGTATATGTTACACTTCCAGTCCAAAAGATCAGAATGCTTAGCTCAGGAAATAGTGGCTTGATGTCTCAAGTACTGAGTCTAATAATTGTTCTGATTGTTCTTTGTATCGTGTTAAGGCAGTCTTTTGCCCTCTACTCCCTTTTTGGATTGGGGTATGTAAGCATATGGAAGGAAAGTCAATGCAGGCAGACTACTCACTGAATACTGGGAGTTGCCCTCCCAGTACTATTCTCTGTTTCTCTCTCTCTTTTGTACTCTGTCTATTCTGAATAACATTTCTAACCAAATGCCCCTAAGCTGGAAGGTACAAACTGGTTCAGGCTGGACCCCGACATCTCACACAGGTCCACATCTCTTAAACCCTCTCAAACAGTTCCACCAACCGAGGACCAAGTGTTCAAGCATACAAGTCTATTGGGGGGAATTCCCATTCAAACCACCACAGTGCCTTCTGGCTTCCCTGGGAGCTCTTGTAGAAGCCACTCATGGTCCTTATAGTGCTGTGGCTTGGTGCTAGCAGGGGAGGGGAGGACTGGAGCCTGCATCCACCCTCTGTGAGGCAGGTTCCTCCAGGTCTTTAGAAGACGAAGAGGTAATGAGAGGCTTGGCTTTATAGTTTTGTGAATTTTTGGCTAAACTCATCCACTCTCATTTGCTTGAAGAACTGGTCTTATTAAAGTCCATGGCCATTTCGACACCACCACAGTCTGGGGCTCAAACAGCAGAGGTGTAAACTCTACACTCTGGGATCTAATCTTCATCAGGGGCACATTCTTCTGACCTTTTCCTTGGCTTGGGAATGCCCCTTACCTCTGTATTCTCACATGGTTTTGTGAAACCTAAATCTCTCTCTCTCTCTCTCTCTCTCTCTCTCTCTCTCTCTCTCTCTCTCTCTCTCCTCTCTCTCTCTGAGAGAGTTTCTCTATGAAACCCAGGCTTTTCTAACTTCCTGCTCAGTTCCTATGTGCTGGGGATTAAGGTGTGCATCATGACACCAACAACTTCCTCTCTGTAGAGAGGTGCTGGGTAAGGGACCACTCGAGTTTTAATCTCCTTAAAGATGTTAGTGGCAAATACAGTCTCATTCTGACACTTGGTTCACAGGGACACAGGGCTCGGTTCACAGGGACACAGGACTCGGTTCACAGGACACAGGACTCGGTTCACAGGGACACAGGACTCGGTTCACAGGGACACAGGACGGAGTTTACAGGGACACAGGACGCGGTTTACAGGGACACAGGACTCGGTTCACAGCCATCCTTTGCACTTCACAGCTCAGCAGCTGCTGCCCCAGGTCAGGGTGTGGGTGGCACAGGGCATGGAACAGCGAGGCAGGAACTCCTTCATCTGAAGCTTCTGTAGTTTCACTATAGCTGACCATGATTTAAAATAGTACATAGAAAAATTCCAGAAATCAACGGTTCACAAGATGAAGCTGAGCGCTGTTCTGAGCCTTGTGAAGAAGGTCACAGCTCCCATGCAGGTGCAGCGTCCCTCTGTGCACCGAGCCCTCACAGTAGATGCTATCTTTAGCTGTCTGCTGTCTGCAGCTGCCTGGGCTGTCGGGCTGATGCTCAGGGATCTCTGTACTTTTGCACACCACCCCTTATCCATGGGCCCCACAGCACAAGTTGGCAATGATGGAATTGAGGCCCACAAGGAGAAGCCAGGAAGCACTTCCTTGAAGCAGAAAGGGCAAGGTGTTCTACTTAATAAGGAAAGATAATGAATCACATGCTTGCTAAGGTCCACAGCACAGTGAATCTACGCATGAAGTCACCGAGAAGGACAGTGATATCAAGTCCTAGTTTTGCTGCTGTGTCTGAAGCTGCCGAAGTCCCACCCACAGCACTGGTGAGTGCCTGTGGTGGGGAAGGCCACACACAGGGACAATGTAGTCAGGCTTTGGGCCATCCAGGATGTCAGCTGCCCACAGGTATCTCTTCAGTGTTTCCCTTGGGTGATGGCAGAGCCACTGTTGGTATATGGAGGTATGTCCTCTAGAGAGCCTGCATCCCCTCTAGGGCTCTAGCCGAGCTTGAAGGACTGGTAGTGGCTATCAGGCCAGGAACATATGTAGAAGGGGTGCTTTATAGGGGCTGGAGGAGGTAGAGCTCTGTCTGTATCCTCCCTTGCCAGCCGTCCACAGGAGGGTGCAGGATGGGGAGGCACTGATATACTCAGTGTAAAGAGGACGGTTACCCTGAGCTTCTGGCTTGTGGGAGCCCTGAACCAACCACTTGGGGTTTCCTAGAACCACATTCAAGGGCCCAAACCCTAGAACACATGCAATTTCCTTGGCCTTCAGTCTCCTGAGGAAAATCTCATTCTGTACTGAAAATAACAGTGGCAATACTAAAACCTCGTCCTTTCTACACAGACACTCACATATCCATTACAGCTAACTCAGAGCGCAACAAGGTCCTCTTCGCCATCAGTGAATCAGCCCCACCTGTCTTACTGCTAGCTGCAACTCTGCACCGTGCAGCAGGTGGCGCTGGTCCCATCAACCCATCAGCACCGAGATGGCTTCTTGCAGGAAACCTGGCTATAGTGACCTACAGACAAAGTGTTGACTTTTTGGTTCAAAAGCTTACTAGTGTACAGCAGGAGTGGGCAAGCCTTTCAAGAACACTGCCAACAAATTACTGTCGGAGGCCAGCAGGCCACACACACACTCTGCTGCCCCACTGCAAAGTGGCTACGGAGAAAATGTCAGGCAATGAGTCTGGCTGTGTGCCACTAAAACTGTCTGCAAACTAAGTGGTGGGTCACAGCTTGCCAAAACTTGCCCTGAAGGGATTTTGTTTTCCAACTCCATCTGAGGTGGATTGCATCCATCTATAAATCCACACACAACCATTAGCAATAATTAGTTTTACAGTTAAAAATCCCCCTAAGGACAAAGACAACATCTATTTCAAAAGGCTAGAAGTGAGGATTTTGAACATTTTCAACATCAGAAGTAATACATAATTACTTATACTAAATGTTGGAGGACATAGATACGTTTTCCCTGACTAGTGCACTACACAGTGTGTACATTGAAATACACACATGTGTCAGCTAAAATTAATTAAAATATAGAAAACTTACACATGCCCATGATGGAAGCCAACAGCTAAGTACACACAGTGGCATCATCACTTATTTCCAGAGTGGTTTAGGTGGCCATTACCTCTAATGCCTCTACTGCCAGTCAACACATATGCGTACCTACTGAGCATGGCTGTGCAGAAACCACGGCTGCTCCTTGTGTGTGCATGGTCACTAGGCGGTTGTCCACACTCCCTCCACCCCACCTTACCCCTTGTGTCTCGGGAGCTGGCAAACCTTGTTCTCTCTGCTGGTCTCTTTGTTCCATGGACACAAGGGCCGAGAAGTGCGCTTGATCATAAGCCAGAACCAGGGGCGAGCAATGGCACCTGTTGGGAGGCACCTCCAAGGGCAGGTAGATCCCTCCAAATGGGATGGGTGCAAATGCTGTGGACACAGACACGGGGAGAGTCGGAGGGCAAGAGTGGGAAAGGGAGGAGTGGGTTGACACAGGGAGAGGGAATAGGGGAACAGAATTAGTGCTCAGGGCCAGGACTGAAGGTTTCCATGGTGATCTGCCTGGGTGGCCTGCTCCTGAGAGCCATACCATAGACAGAAGAGCGGCAGGATGGGCTAAGACCATTGCCCAAGACGGTCAGAAGTATCGCCCACTAGCTTGTCTAGAAGTCTCTGCTGTCCTTTCTCTTCTGCTGTCACTGAAATGTTCACACGCAGGCAGGACCTATATTCCCTGAGTGTGATTGGTGCATATTAAAAACAACTTCTACAGAACAGAAGGGAGCAGTCAGAGAGCTCTGGTACTGAGCTGCAGATCAGGTGGAACATGAGAAGTAGAGACACTGTCTTTGTGTGATGAGATGCCATCCTGTTCATGTTCTTATGAAGAACAAGGGAAGAGAAGCCTGAAAACCACTTTTTGAACACCGGCCCCAAGCAATAGCTGATTCTTTTCTCCCCTCCCCACTGAAATAGGGTCTCCTGTAGACCTGACTTACTACGTAGCTGAGGATGACCTTGAACTTCCAACTCCCTTGACTTCTTGAGTGCTGGAATTACAGGCATGTACCACCATGCCCATTTTATGCATTGCTGCAATGGAACCAGGACTTCATGCATGCTAGGCAAGCAGTCTACCCACCGGGCCAACCCCCAGCCTAGCAGCTATGGTTTGATCATGAAGAGCATTGCCTTTGGCCTCAGAGTGGGAATTGTACCCTCCTTAGTGTGGAGCACAGGGGCCTTTAGAGTGGTCTCTGAGGATCTCTCAGTCATCCCCCGCCCCCTTCACTCAGTCTGTACTGGGCAGGATGATTCTGTCCACATAAGCATCCTGTTTTGAGGGCTGTAATAAAGAGAAGGGAGGCTGCTGGCTCTGGTGCTTGGCAGCAGGCAAAGAGAGCTGGGCAGGATGCACGGATGCACGTTCTGCTAGCCCTTGCCCTCAGAGCAGCCACGGCCATGCTGGTCTTTCTCTGGCATGACGACTGATGCCTGGCCATCAGGGCTTCAGGACATTCATGACTTCTATTATGGGATGGATTTAAATGTAAGTGAAGCCGAGTGAAATGTCACAGGGTCACTTCATTGGCATGCCATGCGCAGTGAAGAGATGTTGTGGACAATGCCGTCTTTGGAAGTGACAAATATGGCAGCAAGAGTGAACTGGATTGCAATGGTGCCACCAGGGAGAATGGAAAATGAACCACACTGGGGAAAGTGCTGAGGGAGGGGTCATCCAAGAGGTCATGGGTGAGGCTCTCAGTGGCCAGACAACAGCAGCTTGGCTACCCCTGCAGTTCCTGACTCTTCACCACCCTTCAGAGCCCCCACACTCTGCCCTCCTTCCTTTCCTCTCTGCTACGCTATCCTGCAGAACTGCTGGAACAGGGCCTGGGGCTTTCATAGGGATCTGTGCTGTCTGTGGTGCTTGGCCAGATTTGTCATAGTCTCCTGCTGGTGTCAGCAGGGCAGGCGATCAGTGCTGTGCTGGAGGAAGAAGAATTGCGTGAAATGCTACCACCCCTAAATACAGCTCCTTGAGGATCCTACCTTCACCACCAGAGTCTCTTAGCATGGTGTCTGCCACCACCACAATGGGTCTCCGCAGTATGTGGGCTAGGACGAAGACATGGAACTCTTCCAGGCTTTCATATACAGGATCTTCAGAGTTGTCCACACTAGGAAATAAAACAAAGTAATCTTGTCATGAGACTAGACTGGAGTGGGGAACACAAAGGGCAGGGACTCTGAGTAGGGACTGAGCACCCCCAAACACTGCACCCTATTTACGAGGATCTGAGGAACCTTCCAGGAACAGTTCCTGGGAAGAGGTCATGAAGAAGCTGTCTGAATCCTACCCTCAGGGGAGGAGGAGGCTGAACGCACAGCCGTACAGTAAGCCTCTGCAGCCTGGGTCCAAGCTCCTGCCTTGCCTTGTGGGTAGAGTAGACCCCGAGAATCACTGTCATCCAGACTGTGAGACACTGGGACAGAAGACTGTGACCTAGATGTCCCTCAACAACAGGGCCACCCTCCAAGGGAAGAGAGCCAGAGCTCCTAAATGGTGGGACCTTGTGTAAGTCTCCTAGATGTGATGACAGTGTATAGCAGGAGGCGGCAGACTCTATGCATGGTTTCCAGTATCCTAGGGCTCCTGGAATCCGTTCCCCAAAGACAGCAAGGGAGCAGGGATGGCTGGGAATGAGCTCCGTGTGCAGAGTGCTGGACCAACTCTCTCCATCACTCCTAGAACAAAGGCTGTAAACCCTAAGAAACGCACTAGGCCTTTGGGGAGATGCCATGTCACATTATGGTTCTTTCTTTCTTTCTTTCTTTCTTTCTTTCTTTCTTTCTTTCTTTCTTTCTTTCCTTTCTCTCTCTTTCCTTCCTTCCTTTTCTTTCTTTGATTTCTCTTTCTCTCTCTCTTTCTCTTCCCTCCCTCCCTCCTTTTTTCCTTCCTTCCTTCCTTCCTTCCTTCCTTCCTTCCTTCCTTCCTTCCTTCCTTCCTTCCTTCCTTCGTCCTTCCTTCCTTCCTTTCTCTTGTCTTTTTCTTTTGTGGCCAACAAACTTTATTTAATGCTTGAAAATGTGGCAGCAGTCAGAAGTCACAAAACGTCACACAGAACCATCTGCAAGTTATTCTCTAGGCTTCCACATCTTTATTCTGAGAGGGGTCGGAGTGCTTCTTGTTTACATGGCCACCTTTGACACATCAGGACACAGCCATCAAGGCCTGCTCACAGTGGTCCCGGCAACACCTTTAAGATGGAGGACCCAGCTCAGGGTCATGAGTTGCTTTCTCTTTAGGTCTCTTCGGTCTCCTTTATCCTGCAATGCTGCTTGGTATTTCCATAACCACGGCACTTCTGAGATGCTAAGGAGTACAGGGTAGGTGGCTTGTGGAACTTTCTCAGCCTGGGTCTCTATGACGTTAGACTAGGGTTTGTCAAGTTATCCTTGAGTGTCCTCTCAGGTGGTGGGATATGGAGGTGGACCTCCCACTGGTGGGGCCTAGGTCACTGGCTCTTCTTCCAGCCACACCCTCACAGAGCTGCTCAGCTCACCTCTCTAACTAACACACAATCCACAAGGGAACTCGGAACCCTTGCACATCTCTTGTTATTTCACAAGCTTGTTGATAGCACTGTGGAGTTCTGGTTTGATACTTTTATTAAATGACTTATAATCCATTTGTGATATTATGACGCTCAAATATGCTTTAATTCGGTCTTCTTCACTTATTTTGGCTTGGTCTGTGTTTTTCTGATACCTCCTTGCCATTCTTTTGGATTACTTCCTTGTTCCCTGGCACAAGAAGATGGACCATGTTCACACATTACCACCCTCTCTATGTGCCTGTGAGTCACCTACCACAGCGGCCACGGGACATGCTAAGTTCACCAGGACTCTCACTTCCAGTCTAATCCTTATTAAATTCATGCTTCTTATAACTTCCTCCTGCACAGTGGGAAACTGTCTGCAATGATTCCACCGTTCTTACTCATTTGAAGCTGTCTCCTAGCCCTATCTTGCTTTGTCCACTGAATGGCTCGGAGTTTTTTTTTTTTTTTTTTTGAAAAAAGAATGGAAGAAGAATGTCTAAAACGCGTTTTGCTTTAACCAAATAGCTCTGGCTGGGCAGATGGGTGCTGTGATTGTGCTTGTGAGGGCTGGAGTTAGGATCCTCAGAATCCAGGCATGAAAGCAGGCAGGCATGGTGGCTGCTGTAATCCTAGCACTTGTGATACAAGTGATACAGATGTGGGATTCCAAGGGCCAGCTGGCTAGCTAAGGCTAGCCAAGTGTGTAAGCTCCAGGTGCAGCGAGAGAAAGTATCTCAATAAACAAAGAAGTGGGCGACTGAGGAAGACACCAGACACTAATTTTGGGCTTCTACATGCATCCATGTGCCTGTCCACATGAAAACGCACATATATTTACACCTTCCCCACGAAAACATATCGATCTCTGTATCTGTAGGCTCCACATCTGAAGATTCAAACTATTGAGAACAGAAGCACTAAAAGAACCGTATGCACTTTTTTCTTATCCCCTAAACAATATAATGCTTCTTCTCCCCTTCAGAAGTGCCGAGTGTCAGCAATGGAGAATAGACTAGCATGCTGATCGCTATTCTCTTCTCTCCCACCTGTGCTTCCCCAGAGGAGATTTGGTTTTCTCCTTGGCAAGTGTGGGAAGTTCAACAGCGAAAGAAACTCTGGCCTGGAAGGAACGCCTGGGACTTGGAGGGCATGGAACAGATACAAGCTAAGTTTTCAGGAACAAATCTTCCACTGTACAAACATACGTCTGCCTGGCCACAGGCCAGACTATTGGGACTGACATGGAATGTCTATGTTGGCTATGTAGGAATGCGTCCGAGCTTGAGAGGGCTAGGCCCAGTGGGTACCAAGCTCACTGCGGTGGGGCGTTGAGAGCCCAGAGGCTTTCCTGGCCTGCAAACCCGAGACCGGCCAGGAGACACGCACATCTGTGTTCCTGGTGTCAGCATTCGTTCTTCGTGCTTTGGCAGAGGACTTTTCTGGGCTGGGACCTTTGACTTCAGCACAAAAGAGCAAAAATCAAAGAATGCATCTTCTGAAATTTCATGGCCAAATGTGCCTGTTGGTCCAGAATGCTCTTCATTCTACAGTGGAGCTGGAGCTGGCCTACAGGAGCAAGCTTTCCTTGAGTGCACACAGCGTGCAAGGCCTTTGTACTAAGAACACACATAATGGTCATGGAGTCCACTGGGGAAGCACTGGGTGGTTTGATGATTTCTTGCTTTCAGTGTGACTTGAAACCCCACACTAAGTTGATTAAAGAAAAACTCTATAAATAGTAGCTGGTGGGTTTTTTTTTTTTTTCAGCCCTGTGTATGCAATGGCAGCTGTAGCAATGGCCACTGTCACAGACCACCTCCAGGTCTGACTAGGCCCTAAATCCCCTAGTTACTACAGTTTGTGTTGTATGAGGAGCCTGAGGGAGACAGGGCTGAGCAGCCTTCATGAACTCATGTGTAGAGAGCTTGGGTGCATGTGTCCAGCCTCCCCTCACCTCCCATGTAGCCTCATGTATAACGTACACTCTCTGTCTTCTGCTATCTGGCTAGCATGCAGGGTCATTTACCCTCCTCCCCAAGCTCTTTGAGGCCCTGAGTGGCCAGGAGCTCCGGAAGACCCATGGAGAGCAGGGCAGCACTCACCCACCACCCGTGCCGCTGCCATTCTTGCTGAAGTGTGTGCGAGGCTCGCTGGAGGCCAGTTTTAGCAGCTCTGTCCACTCTCGCTCCCATTCCTCCTCAGTGTACACCAGCCCTGACTGGCGCGAAGGGAAGCTGGTTCAGGAGGCAGCCGCTGTTGCCTGCCTTCACCCCCTCCTCCCACCAAGGCAGCAGTACCGATCCACCCAGCTTGACCTGAGCCCCACTAGGACCCAGCTGGACACATCTGTTAGTGTCCCCTGATGGTTACTCTTACATAGTTTAAGAAATTCCGGCCCTTGATTTCAAAGCGGTTGGGAAGCTTCTAATCACCAAGTCCACTCCTGGGTACATGTTAGAATGAGTGAACCTGGTTGGGGCTGACCAAGGTACAGTTTAGAGGACCATCAAGCCATTTTACCCCCAATATAGGCAGATTCTTCTTGTGGAGAAAAGTGGTAATGTCACCATGGCCAGGGGTTGCGGAGATTTCCTCTGGATTGAGGGGCCAACGGCTTCTCAGATCAGTGTATGACTATATAATTTATGATCGGTGCTGGGGCACTGTTAAAGTGGAGGGAGGCTCTTTCCTAACCACACCAGCCTGGCGGGTGTAAGTAGGAATGTGCCGTGGTCCTCCTGGGCTGCGCTGTTGCAACAAGGCTCCCCCGGACTATATAGCACAGTCAGAGGCTGCTCCTGATGTGGCTCCTGTCTCCAGCAGGGGTGGGTACAAACCTCCTTGTTCTGCTGTGTCTGCTGCCACCTCCACCTCCGCTTCAGGGCTTCTCGCTCAGCACCTGTCCTCATCATGGTATAGAGAGCTTTCCGCAAAACCAGGTCCCGGTCGTGAAAGCCCCACATTCCTGCAGCCAGAAGGCCATGAGGGACAGAGAAGGAAGGGAGGTGAGGAAGAGATGAGCCTAAGGAAACCCAAAGGGTCATAGCCCAGCAGGCTGGCCTCCCACATGGGTGCACAGGAAGGAACTACCATGCCAGGCAGCTGTGTCTCTTCACAGACTTGCAGCCCTCCCCAACTCCCATGCTGTCAGTGTGCTTCCCATCAGATCAGATACGTGAATGGAACGGTACTTCCTGTTCTAACACAACAGCAGCAGGTAAAGATCCTACAATCTGTGAGCATATACTGTAGAGAAGTAAGAAGCGAGGTAGCTATCAAATAGCACATAATGTACCATGTTCACAGCACAAGGGGAGACAAAGCAGGCAAGAACAGAACACATGCATGCACATGCAGTTGTCTCAGAGGCCAGAAGAGGCTATCCTTGATAAAGATGTACAACTATTATTTGTCAATTAAAAATAAAAAGACACATTGAAAAAAAAGTAAGTGGAAATGTTGGATTTGGAAGTGAACACAGTAGGACTATAATACCAGGAGATAATACGTGCCAGTACTGACAGTGGCCCTCAGTCCAGGGTGGGTTGAGGTTGGGGTACAGTGGGGCTGGGTGGGGGTGCCAGCCACGGGGTGAATTCTTTCTTTTTCCTTCCTTCCTTTCCTCCTTCCTTCTTTTTTATTTCTTCATCATTTTAAATTTATTTTACAAACCAAGCTCAGTTTCCCCTCCCTCCTCTACTCCTGATCCCTCCCCCCATCTCCCTTCTATCCCACCCTCTCCATCTCCTTCTCCTCTGTCTCCATTCGGATGGGGAAAGGCCTCCCATGAGAACCAACAAAGCATGGCACATCAAGTGAGGCAGGGCCACGCTCTTCCTCACTGCATCAAGGCTGAACAAGGCATCCCACCATAGGGAACGGGTTCCAAAGAGCCAGCCCATGCATCAGGGACAGGTCCTCTTCCCATGGCTAGGGACCCTACAGAAGACCAAGCTACACAACTGTCACCCAGATGCAGAGGGCCTACGTCGGTCCCATGGCGGTTCCCTAGCTGTCGGTCCAGAGTCTCTGAGCACCCACTAGCTCAGGTCAGCTGTCTCTGTCCCTCCTTCCTTCTTTCTGTTTTCAACTTTGCCATAGTTTTTTTTTCTTCTTTTTTTTGTGGCAAGTAACTCCATAAATATGTAATTGATAGTGAAAGTGTAAAATCTTATATAGAACTTTACTGAGATACAAAGTTTGAGATGTATAATATTTGAGTGGCTACCTTAATCTAGCCAAAATAAAATTGTAAGCTCATTATAATAAAGTAGTAGTTACATTGTTAATGTTTTGTTTTGAGTTTTAATATCAAATTTCATTTAGTTTAACATATCAAAATACCATTTTAAGTATATAATCGTTAAGAATATGACATTTTATGTTGTTTATGATGCCTTCAAAAGCTAGGTACATTTTAGAATTACATAGTGATTCTATTGGTAGCAGCTACATTTCAAGTATTCCATAATCTATGGCACTATCATCTGCCACATTGGAAACACATGTCTCAGTATATTTAATGATTATAGAAGCTTGCAAGTGATTTAACAGGCAAAATGGGTATTCCCGCCAGGGTTTGTATGTGAATTTTCCCCACAAGTTCAGGTGACTGGATGTTTGGTCCCCAGATGGCAGTTTTGAGAAGCTGTGGAACTTTTGAGAAGTGAGACCTAACCATGGAAGTTGCTGGGAAGCAGACTAGACTTTTTTTTCACCAACCCCGCAACAGACAAAAGTCTGATCTCCAAAATATATAAAGAACTCAAGAAACTAGATTTTAAAATGCTAATTAACCCAATTAAAAAATGGGGCACTGATCTGAACAGAGAATTCTCAACAGAAGAAGTTCAAATGGCCAAAAGACACTTAAGGTCATGCTCAACCTCCTTAGTGATCAGGGAAATGCAAATCAAAACAACTTTTGAGATATCATCTTACACCTGTCAGAATGGCGAAAACACCAATGATAGCCTTTGCTGGAGAGGCTGTGGAGGAAGGGGTACCCTCATCCATTGCTGGTGGGAATGCAAACTTGTGCAACCACTTTGGAAAGCAGTGTGGTGGTTTCTCAGGAAATTCGGGATCAATCTACCCCTGGACCCAGCAATGCCACTCTTGGGAATATACCCAAGAGATGCCCGAGCATATGACAAGGGCATTTGTTCAACTATGTTCATAGCAGCATTATTTGTAAAAATTTTTAATTAAAAAATTAAATAATTTTTTATTTTGAGATTTTTAACATTTTTGAGAATTTCATATGAGTACTGTATTTACATCATTTTTTCCTGTCTTCTCCCTCCAGCTCCTCCTCAGATTCATGGCCTGCTATCTTTTTTATTGTTACATATACACATAGATATGTATAGATACCACCTGAGTTCACTTAGTGTTGTGTATATATATATATATATACATACATACATAAATATGTCAGCCACATATATATGGCTGACAGTTTGGGATTGGATAATCTTTAGGGAGCTCATCCCTAGAGAAGACCAAGTCTGTTTCTTGGCAGCTTTGTTTTTGTTATTGTTGTTTTTGGAGGCAGGTCTCACTGTGTAACCTTGGCTATCCTAGAACTCACCATGTAGAACAGGCTGGGTTTGAACTCATAGCTATCTGCTTCCTAGCGCTCATAGTAAAGGGGCATATCACCACATAGGCCCAATGGGAGTGGCAGAATGTGCTGCCCCTGTTGTGGGGAGGAAGCAGGGAGTGGCTGCCTTTGTCTTTCCCATTGTTGCCATCACACACACTAGTCTCTAGTCTCATCTCTAGTCTCAGGGCCTCTCTGAGCACTTTGCTCAGAGATCTTTTCAGCGTCCTCAGCCTGCCTTGTACTGAGCAGGCCCCACTTTGGTCTAAATAAGGTGTTTTCTATTCCTTCAAGTTCTCAAGTCTCAGTAAAGACCCAGCATTCTCTAGGAAGTCCTCGTAGTTTGCTTCAGAGTACCCATCTAACCTGCTGTCCTTGGCCCTCCTGCTCATGGTCTCTTAGCAACACAGGTGTTTACCCCATAGTGCTCCATCTTGTCATCCACCCAGCCTGACTAGAAGGGCCAGGATGCCACAGGCATTCAGATGACAGCAGCATGAGTGGCTCTATTTGTTATCCATGCATCAGATAGAACCCGAGCCTTGCTGGCCTTTGTTGGCGCTGGGGTGCTTACCCAGTGAGGCGGCATGTAAGAGGCAGTTCCCGTCCCCTGTTGTGGCCAAAGGAAGAAGCCTTTTACAGCTTGTGCACACGGTAGACCACCAGTTCAGGCGACCTGGAAAGGAAGTCCACTTTAGAACAGACGCTCAGAAAGGCAGGGAACAGATGTGTGTATGTGTGTGTGTGTGTGTGTTTGTGTGTGTGTGTGTCTGTTTCTGTGTGTGCTACACATTCCCAAATATCAATGAAAAATTTCCTTCTCTCAAACTATAAAGAGAAAAATAGGGTGGGGTGGGATAAAATAAGCTTTTTTTCTCCAGAGAACAAAAGTTACATAGTTTGTTTCAGTGTCTGCAGAGTATTTAAAACAACCAGATGAATGGTGGAGAATAAGGGAACACAGAAGGTAAGATGTATACGCTTTCTTAAAGGACTTAAATCTGAATACCAGTAAGCATTGAAAAGGTAATGTATGCACTGTAACACCCAGAACAAGCATCAAAGAGAATGAACTGAGTTATACTCAAACCAATCCTTGTTGGGCTTGGTTGACACATGCCTGATAATCAGTGCTGAGGTTGAAGCAGGAGAACTGCGCACTTGGGGCCAGTCTGAATTGTCCATTGAGATCTTGTTTCAAAGACTGACTGACTGGCCGACTGAACAACCAATACTATACAATATGCTCCTTGACACCAAAACCAGGTGAAGAAGGTACTGAGAAATACAGGCAAAAATCTTTCATGAATATGCAGCAAAATTTTCAGCATGTAAACAAACAGCTCTCAGATAGAGACACCAAAAATTACACAGCATGTAATGTAAGATTGATTCTAAGAATGAAAAGTTGGCTCAATATTAGAATATTGATTAATTAACATAATTCATCATAATAAACTACAGAAGAAGCAGTTCAGATAATCATAAATGGAGAAAAAACATTTAACAAAAGTCAATACTCTTGTGATTAACTAGGGACTCCTGAACTTGACAAGGAACACCTATAAGTCCATGCAGCATGACAAATGGTGAAAGAACAAATGCTTGGCCTGACCCAGAGACCTCTTCAGGACTGGGCTCAAGCCAGGGACCTCCATGGGAGCAGACCCAAACCAGGGACATCTACAGGAACAGACCTGAGGCAGACCTCCAGAGGAAAAGGTACAAGGGAGGAACCACCAAAAGAGCAGGCCCAAGCCAGCAACATCTGTAGGAACAGGCCTGAGCCAATGACCTCCACCAGAGCAGGAGCAGGTCCAAGGCAGCAACCTCCACAGGAGCAAGGCCTGAGATAATGATTTCCACAGGAGCAGGTACAAGGGAGCCACCTCAGAGGAAGCAGGCCTGAGCAAGAGACTTCTGTGGGAAGAGGCATGAATCAGCTACCTCCAAGGGAGCAGGCCTAAGCCAGCAACCTTGGTCAGAGCAGTCCTGAGCCAGTGACCTCTGCTGGAGCAGGTCCAAGGCAGTGACCTCAGTGGGAGGAGCCCCAAGCAAGCAACCTTTGTGGGAGCAGGTCCTAAAGATGCCAGGGATTGCAGAGCAACCCCTGGGAATGCGGAGCAACTTCTGGGAATACCAAGTGACCTCCAGGGTGACTGGAACCATAGCCCTGAGTGCACCACAAGGAGCAGCCATCTGAGTCTTGGATCTACTGGCACCTGGAAGTCTGATCACTAGGGAGACAGCCCCAACTACACCAACCACAGGAAAAGAGGGGTAGACAAGGTAAGAACATACTCAAGCTGGGTGGTGGCGCATGCCTTTAATCCCAGCACTTGGGAGGCAGAGGCAGGTGGATCTCTGTGAGTTCGAGGCCAGCCTGGTCTAGACGAGCTAGTTCCAGGGCAGGCTCCAAAAGCTACAGAGAAACTCTGTCCTGAAAAACAAAAAACAAAACAAAGAAAAGAAAACAACAACAAAAAGAACACACTCAACACCAAAAAGAGCAACACAACACCAACAATGGCAAGGCTTAACACCCAAATATAGATGAAGCAGAAGAAAACGACCTAAAAAATTAACTTTAGGGGGAATGTTTGAGGCCCTTTAAGAGGAAATGAAAAATTCCCTCAAAGAAATGGAGTAAAATACAAACAAAAAATTGGAAGAAATCAACAAACCCCTTTTAAAAAACCAAAGAAAAAGCAATCAGATGAAAGAAATGATTCAAGACTTGAAAACCAAAATAGAAACAATAAAGAAAACACAAGCTGAGGGAAATACAGTAAAACAGAAATTATGAGAAAATGATCAGGAACCACAAATATAAGCATAAACAGCAGAATATAAGAGAGACTCTCAAGTGGAAATAGGCTCTCATGGGTCAAAGAAAACATTAACTCTAACAAAAGCTTAACACAAAATATCCATGAAATATGGGACACCATGAAAAGACCAAACCTAAGAATAATAAGGATAGAAGGAGAAGTCCAATTCAAAAGCACAGAAAATATATTCAACAAAATCATAGAAGAAAACTTTCCCAACCTAAAGAAAGGTATGCATATGAAGATACACAAAGCTTATAGAACACCAAATAGACTGGATCATAATATCAAAACACTAAACATACATAATAAAGAAAGAATATTAAGAGCTGCAAAGGAAAAAGGCCAAGTAACATATAAAGACAGACCTATCAGAATTACACCTGACATTTCAAAGGAAACAATGAAAGCCAGAAAGTCCTGGTCAAGCGTTATGCAGATGCCAGCCCAGACTACTATACCCAGCAAAACTTTCAATCAACATAGTTGGACAAAACAAGATATTCCATGACAAAACCAGATTTAACCAATACCTAGCCACAAACCCAGCTCTACGCAAAATACTAGAAGGAATACTCCAACCCAAGGAAGTTAGCTACATCCACAAAACCACAGACAATAGATGATCTTACAGCAGCAAATCTCAAAGAAGGGAAACACATACACAATAACATTACCAACAATGGAAACTAAAATAACAGGAGCTGGCAATCATTGGTCATGAATATCCCTTAATACAAATGGATTCAACTCACCTATTAAATGACACAGGCTAACAAACTGGATATGAAAACAGAATCCATCCTTCTTCTGCATACAAGAAACACACCTCAACCTCAAAGACAGAAATCATCTCAGAGTAAAAGGTTGGGAAAAAATTTCCAATCAAATGGACCAAAGAAACAAGCTGGTATAGCTACCCTAAACATAATAAAGGCAATATACAGTAAGCCAACAGCCAACATCAAACTAACTGGACAGAAACGTAAAATGATCCCACTGAAATCAGGAACAAGACAAGGCTGTTCACTCTCTCCATATTTATTCAATATAGAACTTGAGGTTCTAGCTAGAGCAATAAGACACCAAAAGGAGATCAAGGGGATAAAAATCAGAAAATAAGAGGTCAAACTCTTACTTGTTGCTGATGATATGATAGTTTACATCAAAATTCTACCCCCCCCCCCAAAATTCTACCAAGGAACTTATACAACTCATAAATACCTTCAGTAGTGGAGCAGGATACGAGATTAACTTGAAAAAAATCAGTAGCCCTCCTGTACACAGGTGATAAAAGGGCTGGGAAAGAAATCAGAGAAACAACACCCCTTCACAATAGCCACAAATAACATAAAATATCTTGGAGTAAGTCTAACCAAATAAGTGAAAGGCCTGTATGACAAGAACTTTAAATCTTTGAAGAAATTGAAGAAGATACCAGAAAGTGGAAAGATCTCCCATGCTCTTGAGTAGGCAGAATTAACATAGTAAAAATGGCAATCTTACCAAAAGCAAACTACAGATTCAATGCAATGACCATCAAAATTCCAGCAAAATTCTTCACAGATCTCAAAAGAACAATTCTCAACTTCATATGGAAAAACAAAATACCCAGGATAGCCAAAACAATCCTCAACAATACAGGAACTTCTGGAGGCATCACAATCCCTGACTTCAAACTCTACTACAGAGGTAAAGCACTGAAAACAACCTGGTATTGGCATAAAAACAGACAGGAGGACCAATGAAACTGAATCGAAGATATCAATCCATACACCTACAAACATGATTATTAAAAAAAGAAAAAAATATCAAATGGAAAAAAGAGCATATTTAGCAATGGTGCTGGCATAACTGGACATCAACATGTAGAAAAATGAAAATAGATCCATATCGATCACTATGCACAAAACTCAAGTCCAAATGGATCAAAGACCTCAACATAGTGCCAGCCACACTGAACCGTGTAGAAGAGAAAGTGGGAAGTACACTTGAATGCATTGGCACGGGAGACAACTTCCAAAATATAACCCCAGTAGCACAGACACTGAGAACAACAATTAATAAATGGGACCGCTTGAAACAGAGAAGCTTCTGTAAAGCAAAGGACATGGTCAACAAGACAAAACGACAGCCTACAGAATGGGAAAAAATTTCCACCAACCCCACATCAGACAGAGGGTTGATCTCTAAAATATACAAAGAACTCAAGAGATTGGTCATCAAAAGAACAAATAATCCAATAAAAATGGGGTACACACCTAAACAGAGAACTCTCAACAGAGAAATCTAAAATGGCTGAAAAACACTTAAGGAAATGCTCAATATCCTTAGCCATCAGAGAAATGCAAATCAAAACAACTCTGAGATTCCATCTTACACCTGTAAAAATGGCCAAGATCAAAACCACTGATGACAACTTATGCTGGAGAGGTTGCAGGATAAAGGGAATACTCCTCCATTGCTGGTGGGAGGGCAAGCTGGTACAGCCACTTTGTATTTCAGTATGGCAATTTCTCAGAAAATTAGGAAAAAACCTACCTCAAGACCTAGTAATACCACTTTTGGGTATATACTATACCTAAAGGATGCTTAATTGTACAAGGACATGTGCTCAAATATGTTCATAGCAACATTGTTTGTCATAGCCAGAACTTGGAAACACCCTAAATACCTCTCAACCGAAGAATGGATAAGGAAAATGTGGTACATTTACACAATGGAGTACTACACAGCAGAAAAAAATAACAACATCTTGAAATTTGTGGGCAAATGGATGGATCTAGAAAACATCATATTGAGTGAGGAAACTCAGATCCAGAAAGACAAAAAAAAAAAAATAACC